GGATTGATAGGAAGGCATGATGGGAAACAGGAACAGCAGGTGGACCGGCAAAACAGGAGGAGAGAAAATCTGGAGAACGGAAGAGCAATAGGAGGGGATGATGGCAGGCAGGAATGGTATACAAGTAGGCAGGTCAGGGAAGGGGAAAAATTGGAGAAGGGAGGGGTGACAGGAATGGATGACAGAAGGCAGAAAGGGTGCATGGATCGGCAGGTCAGGAGAGGAGGGGGGCTGGAGGAGGGAGATGGGATAGGAACTGACAATGGAACGCAAAAATGGCAGGCAGGCCAGCAGTCTAACAGGGAGAATAAAAAGGAGGAAGTCCGTGGCAGGATTCGTGTGGTGCCGAATCGGAGGGGGTGCCTTGCATTGAGTAGAGAGGAGGGATTGGAGAGTGGGTTGGTAATAACAGCGCAGAGAGGATGAGGTGGTACAAGGATGACAGAGCAGAAAAATGCAAAGTTGGAGTGCAGGAAAGAGAGGGCGGAACAGTTAAGGCAGTTACAGGCAATCAGGAAGAGTGGCCCCATCACGCGGGCAATGAGCTGGCAGTTGGATCAGCAAGGGGATAAAAAGAACTTTCCCACCCCCTAAGCCCCACTCTGAGGATGCTGACAGAGGACCATCGAAAGCTAAGCTGTTTTAACCTTGTATATAACTGTTTTTATTGTTTTAAATACTAAATAACTAGATTATACTCTTCCCAGAGATCGAAGATTGCATCATTGAATGAAAATAAATTGTTTGTGGGGCCTGACCTAAGGTATATTCTATATACAGTATAGGGTTTTTTTTAAAAAAAATGCAAACAAGTCTTGGCTTCCTTTCTTCGCCTTAAAAATCTTCCCATTTAGCACTGGGAGGGAAGGGCTTTTCTGCATCAAATCTTGCAGTATGGAGTACATATATGTTCTGATTCATATCCACTTTCAAAATTACCTTGCCATTTTCTTTCTTCCCCATTAAAATGTGGTGCTGTCTGACAACTCCATATTCTATGACTCACAGTTCCTTGGGCTGAACTGTTTTGAGGTGAAGAGGAGAAATGTGAGAGAGAACAATTCCCCATAAATATTGAACATTGGAGTATTAGTTATCAGACAGACAGACAATCTTTGAGTGGGAAGGGAAAGGAAACTTGGAAATCTACCAGATACTGCCCTAAAACATATTGCATTGAATCTGTAAATTCCCCACCCTGTTTTCCTCACTGAGACATAGTGAAGTTCAGCCATGAAGCTACACAAATTACATTGACATACTTTTCTGCCAAGTCAAGGACATTGTAATGAGGTTGTGAGGAAGTGTCCATAATTCATGAAGCAGGCAGTGGATGCACTAAAATGTTTTATGTACTAAAAGTAAACGTTTAAAAAAAACTAATTTGAAAACAGTGGCAGTGATTTCTGTGAAATGCCATCTTATTCTGTTGGAAAAACTATACACACACATGCATTTTTCTTAGTTTTGACTTTTGCTCAAAATCCAAGTGTCAAGCCAGATTTGACTTCTTCTGGAGCCATGTGTACTACATTGATTATTTCTGTAAGTTCAGATACATCTCTGGATTGAGGGGATTTTGCAAATATCTGCATATAACCGTAACTTCCTGGAAAAATAATACTGTGCTTTACTAACTTTTGCAGAAATGGGAAAGGCTGTGAAAATATCTTTTAAAAAGAATATGCATCAGGGTGATAAGTTTTGTTTTGTTTTGTTTTAAAGAACATTTATAGTTTAGGTAGAGGAAGCAACATTCTGTGGTTTATCATCTGCTTCTAGAAACGTAAATTACCTTCATAGTAACAATAATTTAGCCTTCTGCATTTCAGCTGAGACTAAAGCAGCTTGTATTCATTTATCATTCATATTATATATATATAATATGTGTGTGTGTATACACACACACACACACACACACACACACATCCAAAATGTTCTTTTTTGCTCCTCTTCAGAAGTGGGGGTTTGTTTATACGTGAGATTTTCTGAGTGATATCTTTATAAGCTCCAGGGGAAAGAAAGTCTCTAGTGTCTAATATTATGAGAAGATTGATGTAGGCAAATTTTGTCACATTTGTTTGACTTCTGAATCAAAAAGGAAGGAGGCACTACCAGCAAATCATGTTGGCAAGGCTGAAAGGAAATAGAATCACATTTAATGGGGATAGAATTGAGCGGATGATGACTTTTAGTTGCTAATGGTGTCAGCAGAAAGTATTTTAAGTTTTAAAAAATCTGTGGTCTTGCTATATAAATTCTTTGAACTGGTGCCATGAGGATTGCGAAATAAAAGTGGAAACTTATTAGCAAAATCCACCTGGCTTGAGTGTAGTGATGCACGCCCTTAGCATCAAGGCAGAGATATTAGAAGTTTCTCAATTTATCACTATGCCATTGTGATCCTTCTAGTGCCACTGAACATAAACTTGTAGGAATAGAATCATGGAAAAAGGAAAAAAAAATCAAATAATCTGTTGCTTAGAAGTTACAGCATCCTTCCCGTACTCCCCAACCCCACCCCCAACCAGAGAGTTATCAATATGGACTATAATAGAAGAATCATAGAGGAAGTAGATATCTCAGTTAAAAATTAGATGCATTGCCTAAGATGCTTGCACTTAAACTAGATTTGATAGTTTTTCCTCCTTCAAATAAATAAGTGTTATAGACAGTAGGAAAGCTAGTTCAAATAGAAGAGAACCAAGGTAAGAGGGGTATGAGAATTATAGAGAGTTAAAAAATAAGCCACAGTATGAAGAAAGCACCTAGAGGGAAAATTATTATCTCACTTTATCACGCCAAGATATAAAGATTGCTAACATTGGTGAAGGGTAAGCCCATTAAGGAACATAAACCAGAACAAATGGATCTGTCTTTGAGTACCAGCTCCTGGGGGGGAAAAAACAACAGGGGCAGATTTACAGTAAGGCCCTCATGCCTTGTTTGTTGTTGATTTCACAGAAGCATCTGTGTCTTGATCACTGCTTGACAAGAATGCTGGATTAGATAGTCCTTTTACTAATACAGTAAGAGATTCTTAAAGAGAGCAAAACAAAACAAGGGTTTTGGAATTATTAGTTCAAGTCTGATTTGAGCAGCCACACAGAAATGTTGACTCAAGCCAATAAAAATTGAATGTTTTATAGAAGAAAAATACTGTGGCATCAAGCATCCTGTTCAAATTTATGGAAAGTCCCTTATGCCCCAGAGGAAAAAGGTGTGATTGTGTGTGGGGAAAAAGAACATATCTTTAGATTTTGAATTGTTCTATCTTGAGCAACCGGGGAGGATTTTGCTTTCATATCCGCACAATTGTTTTGTGTATCTTATCTCTTTTCTAGCCTTTGGCGAGGATAAGATTTGAGGGCTACAGGGAAGAAGGTGATGCAGTGATATCACCATACACTTTAAGCAGTAGATTTTGTACAATCAAAACCTTCAAAGATGCTGTCGGTTACCAGTGTATTTGCTCCTGAGTATCAGTGGCCAATCTAACAGTGTTCTGGAAGATTTTATAACCCATGTGTGTTATCCAGCTTGCAAAATAATGTACATGTTAAGGTAGTTTCAAAATCAGCAATCATGCAAGCTAGTTTAAAGAGCTGTGGTTTAAAAGCTGTGGTTTTAAGAGCCAGGGTGGCGCAGTGGTTAGAATACCCTGTTGCAGGCTAGTTCTGCGGCCTGCCAGCAGCTTGATTCTCACTGGCTCAAGGTTGACTCAGCCTTCCAAGGTTAGTAAAATGAGGATCCAGATTGTTGGGGGCAATATGCTGACTCTATTAAACCACTTAGAAAGGGCTATAAAGCACTGTGAAGTGGTATATAAGTCTAGGTGCTGTTGCTAGTGCTGTTAAGATGCTGTTAGGTTACCTGCCTCTGTGGAGTTCTATTGAACTAGTGTTATGATTAAACAGTCTCCCTTTTTTAAAACTATTGGGGTATAATTACAAGTATCAGATGACAATCCATTAGTTATATTATTTTTAACAATATAACTATCATATTATAGGGGCACCAATAGGATTCTCTGGCTTTAGAGGCTTATAGGGTTACTCTGTAATTTGAGGTTAACTTGCAATTATCTCAGGTAAAATCCTGTCCGTACTTTCTGATACAATAAAAAAAATTATTTGGTATGAAGTTACAGCAATTTGTAATCAGATTAAAGTTGAATGAAGGAATCTTTTTTGTTATCTTTGTTCTTTGAATAATAGCTGCTGAGCATCAGGCAAGTTTTGTTCTGAGTGAGAAAAAAAGTCATAAGTCATCTAATTTGCACACAATACCTGTGTTTATTGTAATAAGTGAGGTCTCATTTGAGATCAATTGAGTCATTTAAACAGAGACCATTTTTAATAGGGTCATAGGTGAAATATGTACAACTTTAAATGGCCCTACTTGTCTCTCAGAAAACTCTTTTTTTCTTAACATACCTGAATATTAAACTATTTAGTATTTAGGACATTATGCCCTTTATTCTGCTCATGTTAGGTCTTTCAGAAGACATTTCCTGCTTGTCAAAAAAGTCACTGACAATAATTTCAAGGCAGACTCTTAATTTTATGTAGTGTAATACTTGATAGTTTACAAGAGATGCAGAGAGTCAGTAATGAACACCATTTTTATGTTGAGTGTAATTTGGCTTCTGCAACGTGACCTGATGTGCTAAATACTTTCTTTGTTCTAGTATATCAGGATTGTACTGTGGAAGGGATAACTTCAAAAACATGCGTAAAAGGTCCCTTTATCATCTTCCTCAGTCTGATATTTTGCATATGTTTTGAGCCTCAATCCCAGGATTTATTATAAACCTAAATTTCTCCATTCCAAAACAGTTGTGTATATATTGGATAAAGGAACTCAACACTTGCTTTATTCAGTAGTTTTTTCCGCTGAATATGCCTATTGATAGTTTCAATATACCATCTACATGTTTATAATAGGCTTATTTTATCTCTAAATCTGTCTTTTACATCAAAGCTTGTTTTATTCCATAGGATAATACCTCTGCTAGATCATTCTTCATCACAGACTTTTCCAAGGAACCTGTCCGGCTCTGAATGTTCAGATGCTTCCAGAACATATTCCCAGAGAGTATGTCGCTATGATCTAGATGAAATTGATGCATGCTGGTTGGAACTTTTCAACATGGAGCTCAAAGAAATGGGTAGGTGTTCGTTCATGAGTGTGTATATGTTTTAATTTGTAATTTAAATTTTATCTCTCTTTTTATCCAAGCCAAACTCTTTATCACTTTTTTTTTCTTGGCTAATGCTACATAGCTAAGATTATATATAGGAGAAACCTTAATGAACTAATAGTTGAAAGTTGAGCAGCATAAAAGGTTAATTCACTCACCATCATTGCCCAAGAAATAGCATGAGGGTATATCTGAGATGATGAAGGATGAATAGATAGGAGTTGGGTTTTTTCCCCCAGGTTATTGGGACTCAACTTAGGCAGCTTTCTTTTTCACAAAATGGTTGGTATATGAAACACAACCAGTAACAAAGCACCAATTTACTGGCATGCAACCTTCCATAGCCTTTATTCTTTGTGACAGAATATCTAACAGACTCTGGAAATGCAGAGAAGTGAGCATGACTGTTAAAGGAGGAAGCAAGGCAGTTCCAGAAATGATTTCTTAGTTTTTGAAGTGGGGGGGGGGCATGAGAGACACTTAAGAAAGCCTCAGAATAACTATGCGTTAGTCACATTAGGTATAAACTGAGCTGGAAAATGACTTTCACGGGCTGTCAAGATCTTTTATATTACCTTACTGGCAATAACAATTATTAATTAGAAATACAAATGATTCTTGTTCCCTGAGTTTGCCAGCCATGTGGGGCTTGATGCTCTTGGAAGGTGCTGCCTATTTATTATCCAAGCTTATTTGGGTTGGGTTTCTTTCTGAAGAGGTGGACTCTGAGCTTCTGCAGTTCCTACTTTTCATTTTTTAAGAATGGGACAAGGCAAGGGTGTCACACTGTTAGCTAGAGTTTTCCACAACACAAGTGCCAGTTATGTTAACCATTTACAAGCATCTACAGTTGCAGCCCTGAAGAGAGTACAAAGCAGAATATCTGAGAAGGGGTGAGAAAGGTGAGGGAAAAGTGCTGGATTTAAACTGGAGTGGGTATCACAAGGGCTGCTCTCTGATGTGGACAAAGCGCAGTTAGCCACATTAAGTGGCTCCATTCTGATATGCAGTCAAGCTTCTTATCTAATCACGCCTTGGTGGATGTCTGGGTAGCTTCTACCAAGTTTAAACAGGGGAACCTAAGGGCATTTTGGGAAAGGTAGACAGTTCTGGAGGGCAGTACTTTACTAAGAAAGTGAAAAAAAAAAGTTACGTGGGACAGAGAGACTGATTGGCACAAAGAGTGGTGTCCTTGGGCATACTGAGATCATTGGAAATACTGCTGTTAAATCATATATTTCATATTTTTCTATTCTGTGATGAAATTAAACTGTGTTGTATTGTATTTAAGATTTGTATAACTGCCCTCTCTGGGTAATTCACAACAATAAAACTATAAAACCCATGAAAGCATATAAAAAAACTAACAATCCTGCCCCTCCGTCAACCTTCCAGGTGTCCCAACAACTCTGCATAGAATCTGGGTAAAGAACCAGGTTGTAATGGCCTTCCTGAAAGCTGAGAGGTTTTGGGGGGGGGCTGTCAGGTTGTTGCGGGAAGAATATCTTCCCATAAGGTGGGTCACTGAAAAAGCACTCTTCCTAGATCTGCGAAATGACAATATTTTGTGGAAGTGAATTAGAGCTTGCTCATCCTATCCATTCTAGTCAAGCAGGCAGATACCCTCAAGGAATAAGTGGTCCCACACTATCACGTTGTGATTATTATGTTATTAATATCATGTAGTATTCATATCTACCTGGGATTTTTCCAGGAAACAGTATAAACAAAGCAATGGTTGAACTAAATTGAATAAAAGTCGATGGAATAATATCCGTAGAGGGTTGCAGGGGATGTTAAAAGTATCTGATAGGATCAAGTTAAGATAAGGAAATTCCAGTCCAGGTAGGATTGTAAGGTCTAGGCAGATGAGTTTGAGTCAAGAAAGTGGAAGTTGTAGGAGGAGGAGAAATCCTGTGACTTTAGCTGTAAACCTAAGCTTATATCTCTACAATTTTTTTGCTGCTTGAGAAGCGTAACATTGAATAGAATTATGTTCTTTCTGATTTTGGGCAAGACTTCAGTAACAAGGTCAGCACAATCCCAAATATACAAATCTCCATATATGTTACCAAGGCAACATCACAGGTCAGGACACTTTTTTTTATTATTACTACCATTATTCAATAGATGCCTCAATACCATGCAAAATGGAAATCTGATTCTGCCTTCAGAAACCCTTTTTGTTTCCTTTTAGCCTCTTTTGCACTGGGAAAGAAAAGTTGTTGAGTTCACCTCAGAGCTGTTCTGTCTGTATTTGCTCATACATCTCTGAAGTGGAACGGTGCTCTGGCTGCCAATTCTTTCAAAGCTGCCTCGGCCATTTACCAAATACATCAAACAAAATCTGCAGGGAATCATACCACATCTCAGCTTCAGAGCTGTTTCTTATTTTCATGGTTCAGCCTTGAAGGAAGCCCTAGCCTCCTTACTAAACTACTTCCCAATCCTACAGTCATACTCTTTAGAAAAAGAGGCTTGAGGAAGTTGCCATTATGCACACATCACACTTGGTTGTATAAAGTATGATAAACCTAACTGTTTATGTATACTACATTTTTACTTCCCTCCCTGTGATTCTATGTACATTTAGAACTGAGTAAATTCTAGTGAAGACTGTAAGGATTGCTTTCAAGAACATTCATATACAGTTAGTTCTTGACTTACAACAGCAGTTTGGACTGGAATTTCTGTCACTAAGTGATGCAGTTGTTAGGTGAAACATGTGACCACACCACTCAGTGACAGCAATTCTAATAGTCCCAGTTGCAGTCGTTAGGCCAGGACCTCATATTTTTCCTGCTCCACCCCATTTATGTTCGCTTCAGCTCCCCCAACCTGCCTATCTCCCCCCCCTATCTCTGCCTTTTCCCCCCTTATTAATAAAATGTTTATTTAAACGCTCAGAAATCCAGAAGAAACTCTTTGTGTGTTTATATGCTGATAATTAACAACTCCATATAGAAGAAAAAGTCAGTATAAAGAATTGCCAGTAGAAAATTTAACTTGTTTGAAGTTCTATTGGTAGGCACTGCATGCAAAAATAAAGTTGTTCTCAAGTAATCTGGATCAAATATTGAATTGCACTCATGTATAGTCAGTGGGAGCTTTTTTGCTACACTCAAAGGCTGGGCTATAAATCTTCATTTATATTTTAAACCTGGATTTCTTCTTCATGTAATCCAACTTGTCTATTATTATAAATAGTATGTTTGGAACAACTTGAAAAGAAAAGCTTTCATTGTTTGGCAGCTCTGCCTATCAGTTATATACCATATCACATCACATCACAATCGACCCATCGTCTGCAGGAGGCACCAATATATTTGACAATGGGTACGTTGTAATATGAGGTGAACCTGCTTATAGATGATTTTAAGTTATTTCTAAGTTTAAATGTTAACAAGGTGATTGTTTTACCTAGTTGCTTCAGAGAAATAAAGGAGAAAGACAAAAGAATTTCTGAACAAAAAAAGGGGTAGGTGGTAGCAGAAGAAAAATACATACTTTGCAGATTCCCAGGTTTAATGGGATCTCACTTTAAGTGTGAAGAAGAGAAAGAACACACACACCAGAAAGGATATATTATACTGATATAGCCTTTTTCCTACTTATTCCATAATAAAGCCTCTTTTTTGTTAAAAAAAAAAAGTATGCTGGTCAAAAATTGGGAAAGTACTGGTTTTCCCAGCAGTCTTACTACCCAGATCTAATACAAGATATATTAACTGATTAAGTCCTTCCAAGTTCTGATCCATTTTAAGACTCAGGCTGAGTCTTAATTCAACATTTTGCAAGCCCCAGTGGCCAAAACCAAATAAATCACATTATGACTTAATATGTTCAGTGAAACTAGGTCAAAAAGTCTTAGGCTAGAGTCCAAATTCACTGGGACCTGACTTACTTTTTTGTAGGAAAAGGATTCTGTAGGATTGCTTTGCTAAGTAGTTATTGGTGATGCCATTAGTCACCGGAGAAGAAATCTGTTTAAAATAGTTCCAGAGGGATGCTCACAAGAACCCATTGAACATAGATTAATTAATGGTGTCAGTATGCTGTTGCTTCTTTCCTGTATAATCTAGTTTTGTAGCAAGAAAGTAATAAACATCCAACAAGAAAACTCAAGGGAGGCCAGAGCTTGAAAATACAAATAGTGGTTTGTCCTAGAATCCAGAGTCTCCAAAGGAGGCTCTTTAAAACGGACAACTGACTCAAGAAACTTGAGGAGCTAAATACACATAAATAAACCACAGTAGTGCTGATGAAGGGAAAGCTATTAAGCCCTTTGAGGTTTGTTTGATGGTAATAAAATAACTGGGCCACAGATTCAGCAAAAGATTTATAGTAGGTATGTTGGCAGTTCTAATACAGGAATTTAACAAATAGGCTGTCCTGATCTTTTTTCCTTAAAAATCCACTTTTACTTAACAAGAGATTGTATTATACAATAACATGATGCTATATATTAAGGTGTTATCCTTTCATATTTGATAAATTATGATCCTGTAATTAGAAGGATACAGGGAAGTGGAAAGATTACAAGTTACACACAGGAGTTAGTCATAAAGCGATGTAAAAAGGCTCTGTGACAATTGTACATTATCTTGAAACCTCATTGTTTAAATATAAATCAACTTGACTAAATTTCGAGGTCAATCTTGGAACAGAATCAAAGACTTTCACAACTTCTATAAATATTCAGTTGCCTGGTCCAAGGTCTGGAAAACCTGTTATGACATCAGAACAATTAAGTTAGTAATAACTTAAAGGTAAAGATAGCTGGATATCTTTAGGTATTTGAGGGCATGGGTTATCTTGTATCTACAGAACCATTTGCTTAATTTATTATTGTATATGTATGGAATGTAAGTTTTGTACCAACCACTTTTAAAATCATGCTTATATAATCCTGATCTTGAGGTGATAAAACTTGGTTTCTGTAATCTGTATACATTGTACATACTGTG